CCCCTAAACCCCTAACCCCCATAAGCCCTATAAACCATATAAGCCCTATAAGCCCCTAAACACCAAAACCCGTAAACCCCTAAACCCCTAAACCCCTAAAACACTAAAGCCCTAAAGCCCTAAAGCCCTTAAGCCCTAAAGCCCTAGAGCCCTGAAGCCTTGAAACCCTAAAACCCTAAAGCCCTAAAGCCCTAAAGCCCTAACAGCCCTAAAGCCCTACAACCCTAAGGCCCTCAAACACTAAAACCCTAAAGCCCTAAAGCCCTAAAGCCCTAAAGCCCTAAAACCCTAAAGCCCTGAAACCTTAAAGCCCTAAAACCCTAACGCCCTAAAACCCTAAAGCCCTAAAGCCCTACAACCCTAAAGCCCTCAAACACTAAAACCCTAAAGCCCTAAAGCCCTACAACCCTAAAGCCCTAAAGCCCTGAAGCCCTAAAACCCTAAAGCCCTGAAGCCCTAAAGCCCTAAAGCCCTAAAACCTTAAAGCCCTAAAAAGCCCTAATTCCCTAAGACCCTAAAGCCCTAAAGCCGTAGAGCCTTAAAGCCCTACAACCCTAAGGCACCAAAGCTCTGAAACCGTAGAGCCCTAAAACCCTAAAGCCCTAAAACCCTAAAGCCCTAACACCCGAAAGCCCTAAAGCCCTAAAACCCTAAAGCCCTAAAGCACTAAAACCCTAAAGCCCTAAAACCCGGAAGCCCTAAAGCCCTAAAGCACTAGAACCCTGAAGCCCTAAAGCCCTAAAGCCCTAAAGCCCTAAAACCCTAAAGCCCCAAAGCCCTAAAACCCTAAAGCCCTAAAGCCCTAAAGCCCTAAAGCCCCAAAACCCTAGAGCCATAAAACCCTAAAGCCCTAAAACCCTAAAGCCCTAAGACCCTGAAGCCCTGGAACCCTAAAGCCCTAAAGCCGTGAAGCCCTAAAGCCCTGAAGCCCTGAAGCCCTAAAGCCCTAAAGCCCTAAAGCCCGAAAGCCCTACAACCCTAAATCCCTAAAACCTTAGAAGTCCTAAAACCCTAAAGCTCTAAAACCCTGAGGCCCTAAAGCCCTAAAACCCTAAAGCCCTAAAACCCTAAAGCCCTAAAACCCTAGAACCCTAGAACCCTAAGGCCCTAAAACCTAAAGCCCGAATACCCTAAAGCCCTAAAGCCTGAAAGCCTTAAAGCCCTGAAGCCCTAAAGCCCTAAAGCCTTAAAACCTTAAAACCTTTAAGCCCTAAAACCCTAAAGCCCTAAAGCCTTCAAACCCTAAAACCCTAAATCCCTAAAGCCCTAAAACCCTAAAGCCCGAAAGCCCTTAAGCCCTAAAACCTTAAAGCCCTAAAGCCCTAAAGCCCTAAAGCCCTAAAGCCTTAAAGCCCTAAAGCCCTAAAACCCTAAAGCCCTAAAACCTTAAAGCCCTAAAGCCCTAAAGCCCGAAAGTCCGAAAGCCCTAAAGCCCTAACGCCCTAAAGCCCTAAAGCCCTAAAGCCCTAAAGCCCTGAAGCCCTAAAGCCCTAAAGCCCTGAAGCCCTAAAACCCTAAAGCCCTACAACCCTAAAGCCCTAAAGCCCTAAAGCCCTAAAGCCCTGCAGCCCCAAAGCCCTAAAACCCTAAAGCCCTAAAACCATAAAACCCTAAAGCCCTGAAACCCTAAAGCCCTAAAACCCGAAAGCCCTAAAACCCTAAAGCCCTAAAACCCCTAAGCTCTGAACTCGGTCTGCTAGCCGAGCTAGGTTGCCAAACCTATTCGTATTATTCGAGTGATCTAGACAGGCGCTCTCGGTTTTCTGTACTTCACTCGAGTTATGGGACAGCTACAGAGCTGATGCTTACAGAAACCGATTCAGAATCATCAGTCGCGTTTGTCTGTTCAATCTAGAGCTCTGAACTCGGTCTGCTGCCCGATCAAGAATCGCGAAACTATTCGTATTGTTCGAGTTATCTTCAGAGGTGCTGTCTTTTCTGCACTTAACTCGGGCTGTAGGGGGCCTGCAGTGCTGGTGGTCACAGGAATCGATTTGAAGACATCAGGCGCGCCCGCCTGTCGAATCCAGAGCTCGGAACTCGGTCTGCTGCCCGAACTAGGTCCGCGAAACTTTTCGTATTCGTATTGGTCGAGTCATTCTGAGTGGTGCTGTCGGTTTTCTGCACTAAACTCGGGCTGTAGGGGGGCTGCAGGGCTGGTAATCACAGGAATCGATTCGGAGACGTCAGACGCGTCCGCTTGTTGCATTCAGAGGTCTGAAGTCGGTCTGATACTCGAGCTAGGTTCGCGAAACTATTCGTATTGTTCGAGTCATCTTGAGAGGTGCTGTCGATTTACGCACGTAACTCGGGCTGTAGGAGAGCTGCAGAGCTTGTACAGAAGACAATCCAGAAGCATCGGGGGCGTTCGGCTGTTGCATCGAGAGGTCTGCAATCGTTTGGGCTGAAAAACTGTTCGTTCTCTGCAATTTTTTCGACATTATATATTGTAAGGAAGCTCTACGAGTCCCCCGGCGGTAAGAAAGGTTGACGGTTTACCGCCGGCGCCCAGTTGGCCGACCCGACCTTAAGAGACAATGTGACGACTTGGGCTCGGTTTTGCTATCTTTGTGTAAAATTTGAAAGTTCGTTTTAAGAACAGGTATTTTTCCCACCTGTAGCGGGTTATGTCGCGTCTGCCAGTTAAATTCTCAGGTCCGTAGCTGCAATATTACTATCAAAAGACTTGAGGGAACCGTCGGCCGTTTCGAGTCATCTTGGCACGCGTTTTGGTTTTCTGTATTCAACTCGAGATTTAGGACAGCTACAGAGCTGATACTTGCAGAAACCTATTCATAATCATCGGGCGCGTTCGTCTGAAATCGGTCTGCTGCTCGAACTAGATTCGCGAAACTATTCGTATTATACGAGTCATTTTGACGAGTGCTGTCGGTTTCCCTTAAGTGAAGATTTAGAAGAGCTACAGAGCTGGTGCGCATATAGACCGATGCAGTATCATCCGGCGCGTTCCTTTCTCGCATCGAGAGGTCCGAACTCGGTCTGGCACTCGAGCTAGGTCCACGAAGCGAAGATGCAATAGACAAAAAACATATTTTTCCACTTTTTTTTTCGCGCTTGAGAAAGTTTTTTTCGTGTGCTCCGAGCAGCGTTGCGAGAGCAGAGCTCTACGAGGCTCCCGGCGGTTACATGGTTGACGGTTTACCGCCGGATCCCAGTTTGGGAGGTTGCCGGCCATGCGGCCTCCAGAGAGACAGGATCCTTGGAAATAGCCTCAGCGGAGATCAGCGGAAAATCAGCGGAAACTCAGCGGAAACTCAGCGGAAACTCAGCGGAAGATCAGCGGCCAGAATTGTGAGGATGTATCGAGCGGGAGCCCTACTTCAGCGGACCTTCAGCGGAAAATCAGTGGAAACTCAGCGGAAACTCAGCAGCCCCTGGAGGTCACCCGAGTTCCCTGAAGGCCCACCGGAGTTCCCTTGGAGGCACCTTGGGTGCCCACCGGAGTTCGCCTGGAGGCCACTTGGGGGCCCACCGGAGGTCCCCTGGGGGCCACTTGGAGGCCCGCCTGAGTGCCTCCAGAAGACATTCTGAGCTTCCAGGGGGGCTCGGCGCAGCCTCAAACCAATTTGGAAGAGCACTCATGCTCGCGCAGCGGCCCTGAAGGCGCATGTTTGGCAGTTCGAGGGCACCTCCAGCCACTCGATCATGTCCAGTGTCCCTGCCGCGGCATCACGTGGATGCCACAATTGAAACTGGCGTCCCTAGCGATTGTCGACCTCCCCCAAGGTCGGCACAGTTGCAACCCACGCTGTAGGAGCATCCCCGCATTGACCGTAACTACAACCAGATTTGCAGGCTTCTCCTGCAACTTAAAACGTCGAGCAAAGGCGACCAATTGACCGAACCGATACAGAGACACTCTCTAATTTTCAATTGTCACTGGACCCAAACGAAATTGTATTAGTCGGAATTGGCCGCCTGATCTAGAAATTTGCTCCCGGATGCCCGAGATCAACTCGGACTGACCTTGCGATGGCATTAGTGCAGATCGGCCGTTCGCAGTCGAAGCCCTGATCGACCACCGCCGAAGCACAGCAAGCCACAAAAGGATAGGGATGGGGGAGGAGAAATAGGGAAATATGACAAGTATGAAGACAGTGAAAAAATGGGGAGGAAGAGAAGGGCGGCGAGCAGCACAAGAAGTGGGATGAGCTGGAAGACGAAGCGAAACACGCTGAGAAGGATGCAGAGGAACGGGTGTGAATGACAGAAGTGAGGACGAAGTAGACTTGGCGGAGGGGTCTACTGAGGAAGAGGATCAGTATGAGGATGAGGAGGGGCAGGATAGGAATGGACGGGGGTAGGCAGTGGTGGGTGGAGGAGGAGGGGGATGTGGCTGGTTTGAAACGCTCGCTGCACGCTAGCAGCGCTGGAACTAGCTCGAGCTAGTGGCGCAGGAGGTCCTCAGCGACAAACGCTGGGCCCTGAGGCCGTGCAGAGTGTCATCGTCAGAGTTTGTGGGCCGAACGGTCATTCACTCTCCCTGGGTGCGTGGCTGAAGTGGGAGTCCGCGATGCAGATTGTTGTTGTTGTTGGTGTTGGTGTTGGTGTTGGTGTTGGTGTTCGTGTTGTTATAGTTGTTATTGTTGTTCGTTTTGTTTTTGTTGTTGTTGGTTTTGTTGTTGATGTTGCTGGTCTTGTTGTTGATGGTGGTGTTGTTGTTGTGTTGGTATGTGTTGTTGCTGTTGTTGTTGTGATGTTGATTGCTTGCTTGCTTGCTTGCTTGCTTGCTTGCTTGCTTGTTTGTTTGTTTGTTTGTTTGTTTGTTTGTTTGTGTGTTTGTTTGTTTGTGTGTTTGGCGTCGTCCCACCCGCGCCCTGCCCCGCGACCCGCCCGCGACCCGCCCGCGACCAACCCGCGACCCGCCCGCGACCCACCCCGCGCCCGCCCCCTCACTCTTGCAGGGTGCTACATAAGGGCTCGTGTTCCTTATCCCCGCCCCTCCCCCCCGCCTCCTTCGCCGCATGTTCTGGGTCAAGGATGTTAGTTCGACCATTGGTCTTGTGAGTGTTTCCGAAACCCTCGACCTGAGCGATGGCAGCATGGCCGCAGCGGGCGCCGCCGCGGACCCGAGCTGCAATCGCAGGCGCCTCTCTGCCAAGGCGGCGCCTCGTGTGGTTTCACAGAGGCGCGAACCCGTCTGCCCCACCTTCGACGTCGAGACGGACGAGCCTGGCGGCACGCAGGTAGAGACGCAGACGCAGGTGGAGATGGCCGACCACATCGAGACCCAGGTGGAGGGCGACTCCTTCTTCCAGGCGCCCCACGGCGAGGACGACCTTGGTGCTAGGGCAAACGGTGCTCAGCAATGGGATGACACGGACGGATTCGAGGCCGCCATCGCAGCAGCTGGCGACACATGGGAGCAGGAGATCGACGACATGCAGAATGGCCAAGTGGACGAGCATGCCATCCCGACCGAGCAGGGAGAGCCAGCTGACAAACAGGAGAAGGACTGGGAGATCGACGGGGAGAAGCAGACGGCCGAGGAGGCTTGGGAGGATGACTGGACGAGCGACGGCGAGAAGCGAGACGAGAAGGGCGACTTGCAGCCTCACCCTGAGGCTTGCGGTCTGGAAGCGTACCTCCAGGCGGGGCGCCAAGGCCGCAGCCCGAGACCTTGCCTTTCGGCGAGGAGCCCGAGACGCAGGCGCACAGTGGGCTCTTCGCGCAGCCATCTGTCGATCCCCCCGCCGCTGAGAGAAGCGCGCCCTCCACTGAGAGCAGCGCGCCCGCCAGCAGCGCGCCCGCCGCTGACAGGGGCACGCCCGAGCGGGAGTCCCTTCCAGATCGCCTCCCAGATGGTTGGGTATTGGGCGCCGATGGTCGCTGGGGCCCGCCTCCCGAAAGCCGTGAGGTGATGCCTAACGCGTCCAGCGAGGAGATGCCTGAGCAGCCTACCGACGGCGGTGAACTCGGTGTGGACGAGGCGGGCGAAGCCGTGGGGGAGGGCGATGCGACGGCGGTCGCGCAAGAGGAGGCCCGAGACGAGGTGGCGAGGCGGGGGTCGCAGAGCCTCGGGGCCGCGCAGCGTCCGACAGGCATGCAGATCGACGCGATGTTCAGCGCGTCGCTCAAGGACGAGCCTGAAGGCGACGAGCCCGTCATGGAGAAGTCCGCGTTCGAGGAGGAAATCGTTCTCCTTCCATTTCCTCCCCCCTCCTACTGATAAATTTCAAATCCCCACCCCAGGAGCTCATGGAGAAGTTCATGACGTTGAATGGCCCGACTGACGCAGATGGGCCGCCAGACACGGATGGCGCGAAGGGCGTCGAGGACGATTCGGAGCTCATGAACTGCGCGCTCAACGGGTTCAATTTCTTGGCGAGGAGCCCGATGGGCTGGCGCTTCCAGAGGTGGCTCAACGGGAACACTGACAAGTGGGAGGAGTTCGGCCAGCTCGGCGCCCCTGGTAAGAAGGCGTTCAAAATGCAGTGGGCCGAAGACTTGTACGACGAGCACATGAAGCGCAAGACGAAGGTGGAGAAGATGAAGCAACGAACCATCAAGAGAGGACGTATGCTGAACATCGACCAGATCATCAAGGCTCAGGGAGGACATGAATCAGCATCCGCTGTGGCGGGCGCGTATGCCATTGCCGAGTACGCCATGAAGAAAGCTGCTGTCGAACCTGGCTGGGTTGAGGTGGACCCGTCCAGCCGTCGCATGACCTTCCGCATGATCGAGAGGGGGACAGGGCAGGGGCATTCAAAAACGTGGTCGATTTCCGAACAGGACGGCGCCGATGCTGGGCCAGCTGCCCCTTCGACAGCCGCTTCCAGCTCTGTTCTCTGCGCGCCTGCCCACAGGGGCGGCCGCGTCGCAACAGAAACGCCTGACAGAGAGGCGCGGGCTCCAGACGGCTCCGCCGAGGCGCTTGGCGAGAAGCCGCCTGAGGATGGCGCCAGCGGAGGTGGTCTTTCGACTGACGGCAGTGGCGAGGGGAAGGGCAGCGGCAAGGACGACTTGGGCAAGGGCAGCACGAAGGGCACCGAGGAGGGCAAGGGCAGCACGACGGGCACCGACAAGGGCAAGGGCAGCACGAAGGGTACCGACAAGGGCACCTCGAAGGGCACCGAGAAGGGCCATTGCACCAAGGGCACCGACAAGAGCAAGGGCGGCTCCCCGAACAAGGATAAGGGCAAGGGCAAGGGCACCAGGAAGTCGACCTCGAAGAGTGCTGGTAAGAGAACTGGGCCTGGCACCAGATCGAGTCGCGGCACGACGGGCGCCGACCCGGCGAAGAACGACAGCATGAAGTACGCAGAGGAGACCGCTCAGCTCTACAACAAGGCGACGCTGCAGGCTAAGTCCCTGACTGACAAGATCACGACCAAGAAGGAGCCCGACTGGGCGTGGGCTAAAAACGATGATTTCGCAGGCCCGCTCCAGTCTAAGCTCCTGAAGTGCGAGCGTAATGCTAACTCGGACGAGGCTTTCATGGAGCTCCTCGCCTGGGGCGCGAAGTCAGTGAAGGAGACGTACGGCGATGAGAACGCCTACGAGATGTTCGCCAAGGCCGAGCGCCACTGGGATGAGGTCAACGAGCTGTGGAATGCCTGCTACAATGTACATGCGATTATGTATCCGTGCCTCTTATCGCTTTCGGTGGTTCTCTTATTGGGCCCATGGGGTGCATCTCATGTTGAGAAGCGTTCCATTATCTTCCGTGTCGCTAGTTATCATCCCGCCCCTTGCTCGCCCTCGGGAAGGATGGGCAGAGAGACAGACCAATCTTGCCAGACCCTCTGCAAACAAGTAGCAGGAGGATGCCAGGAGGAGAGGAGGAATAATCATCATCTTCAAACGCAGCTCGCTGGCGCGCTCCCCCGCGCATCCCGTGTTTGCTCTTGACTGCGCTGCGCAGTCGAATATTACCTTTTCTAGTTCGGACCGCTGCCCTCGACATCTATCTTCTACCACTCGGGCATGTCGGGTAGCTCGATGCGGCACCTGACCGCTGGACGCTCGAGATCGGCAGACGTGCTCCTCTGCCTGACGCGGCCCTGCGGGGTGGCGGGTGCGCGGAACTGCTGGGGCTCGAGGGTTTTGGAGTCCGGTTCTGGAGGGCTCGGCTCGATCGGCTTGGGGCCCACAGGGCCGAAGGGCTCGGCTCGCTCGGCTTGGGACCCGCAGGGGCCGAAGGGCTCGGATCGCCACCCACAGGGGTCGGCACGGTCGGCGCGCCTGAGTCCTCGGTCTGGTCGACCTTGTCGACGTTCTCTGTCTGACCTGGGCGGTACTTTCTCTCCCCACCTGCCTCTCGGTCCCCCCCCACGTCCTTTTTGCTGCTGTTGCTGCTAACCTTCGTCCTCTTGAATCTCACCCGAAAAGCTGCTAGGGGGTGAGGGGGAGTTCCCACCCCCCCTCACCCCCTAGCAGCTTTTCGGGTGAGATTGAAGAGGACGAAGGTTAGTAGCACCAGCAGCGAGGAGAAGGATAAGGAGAAGGATCAGGATGGGGGGAAGAGGGGGAAGAGGAGGAGGATGATGAGGAGGAGGAGGAGGATGAGGAGGAGGAGCAGGAGGAATAATGCGTGTTTACTTAGACCAGACCTGCGGGACCAGCAGCACGTTTCCGCCCCCTGCCCGTGTGGCGGCCCTTCTGCTCCCTGATCTCGTTCTTCTTCTTCTTCTCGGCGTCCTCGAGCATCATCGTGCCGTCGACGAGGTTCTGGGCGAACTCGTTCATCAGCTGCATGCCCATCCTCTCGCCCGTCTCCCTGTCGTCGTCGAAATCCTGAGGATTCCGCTTTTCTCGCGTGCGTTCTCGTCCTCGTGATCACCGTCGTCGTCGTATTCTCGTCGTCGTCTTCGTCGTCGTTTTCTTCCTCCTTCTCCTCCTCCTCCTCTTCCTCTTCCTCCTCCTCCCAATCCTGTCGCGTGTTTCTGTGCCTCCTTCCTCCCTCCGAATCTCCCTCGTCCTCCCTGTCACGTGTCATCGTCTTCCCCATATCTTACTTCTCATTCCGTCCTTCGTGTTCATCTGCAACTTCTGCTTGCCGTTGAGTTTGATGCCGACCAGCCTCTCGATGCGCTCCTTCGTCGGGTAGTCCCACGTGGGCGGCCATCCTTCCTCCTTGCTACCCTCGTTTTCACTCCTCCGCCTCCTCGCCCTCGTCGTCTTTCTCCTCCCCTCCTCCTTCTTCGTCCTCGTCCTCCCCCCCCATCCCCCTTCAAAAACATGGGGGGGAAGCGTCGTCAGGTGAGAGGAGGAGGAGGGGGAGGAGGAGGAGGAAGGAGAAGGAGGAGGAGGAGGCGGATGGGGGATGATGATACTAGAGGAGGAGGGAGAGGATACATATTACTGACGTTGCCACCTGAGGTGGCTGGACCAGGTATCCTGCTTGTCCTCATTCGTCATCTTGATGCCCATGCGCTTGGCCTTCTGCTCAGCGTCCCCGTCGTCGGTGCCGTTCGAGTCCTTGCCCTTGCCCTTGTCGGTGCCCTTGTCGGTGCCTTTCTTGCCCTTGCCCTTGTCGGTGCCCTTCGAGGTGCTGCCCTTGCCCTTGTCGGCGCCCTTCGAGGTGCTGCCCTTGCCCTTGTCGGTGCTCTTCGAGGTGCTGCCCTTGCCCTTGTTGATGCCCTTCGACTTGGTGCCCTTGCTGGTGCCCTTCGTGCTGCCCTTGCCCTTGTCGCTGTCGGTGCCGTTGCCAGCGCTTTTGCCAGCTGTGACCGTCTCGTTGCCATTGCCTTTGCCAGAGTCCTTGTTGATGGCCTTCCTGTATGCCATCACCAGCACTTATGGCACAACCCTGTCGCCGTCTGGCCATGTGGCCCACATTTCGTCGGCCTCGAGGCTGCCGCTTCTCTCGAACATTGCCGTGCAATATTCGGGAGTGTTGTTGTTGCCCTTCACGCGCTAAGCCATGTTCATCATGCGGTCGTACTTGTAGTGGAACTCCGACGTCTCCTCGACGCCCGTGGCCTCCACCTCTGGCAGCGGGGAGTCTGGCGCCTCCGCGTCCCAGCGGAAGGTGCGCTCTGGCTGGTTGTCGTCCTCCTCGTCGTCATCGCCCCCCTCGTCGGTGATCTTCGCGAAACCGATGGCCCCGAACCAGGCTGGAGGTCGGCTGGAGATCATTATTGACACCCAGCTACTCCATCTTTACGTTTTGGAGCTCCTCCACATCATGCATGTGATCTGCAACCAATGTGATCTGCATGCGTGTGATCTGCAACCGATGTGATCTCCACGCATGTGATCTGCAACCAATGTGCCGTCTAGGCACGGTTCACCTGACCTGATCCACATCATGCTCACCCTCCGTGTCCTACAACTAACCTTTCCCACCCGCTCCTCCCCATCGTCATCCTTTCTTGCTCTTCCCCTCGCCCTCAAAACAACACCCTCGACAGCTTCGTCACGTGGCGCAGCAGGCAGCGAATGCGCTTGCCCGTCTCCGTGTACCAGTCCTCCAGCTCGTCGTCGGATAATGCGAACCTTAGGAGGGGGGCTCGGTCGGAGCGTCGAGGAAGGACGAGAGAAGGAGGAGAATCGAGGAAGGAAGACGGCAGGAAGAGATAACAGTGGACATGTGGAGGAGTTGCAACAGAAATCGTCGTCGTCGTCTCCCGCTGTCGTCGTTGTCGTCGTCGTCGTCGTCGTCGTCGTCATCGTCATCGTCATCGTCGTCTTATTCCTCCTCCTCCTCTTCCTCCTCCTCCTCCTCCTCCTCGTCATTTATCCTCCCCTGTTCCTCTCCGTTATCCTCGAGCTGTTAAGCGAAGAACCGTCTCCGCTCTGCCGCTGTCTTCAGCGCATTCTGCATCGTGCACGGGCGCGCGCCCAGGGCTGGCGAGAGTGGCGCGATTGCTTTCCGCTGGCCCTTGCGTGGGCCCCTACTTGATGTGGAGATGCCGTCGACGACGACGACGGTGACGACGACGACGGTGACGACGACGACGACGACGACGAGAACACGACGACGACCGACGGCGACGACGACGAGAACACGACGACGACGACGACGACGACGACGGACGACGACGACGACGGACGACGGACGACGGACGACGGACGACGGACGACGACGACGACGACGGCGACGGACGACGGACGACGGACGACGGACGACGACGACGCCCGACGACGACGCCCGACGACGACGGATGCCGGACGACGACGACGGGGGACGACGACGACGACGACGACGACGCTTGCTTTCTCCCTTCCTCTCTCTCCCTGACTCCCTCCCTCCCTCCCTCCCTTCCTCGCTCTCTCTCTCTCTCTCTTCTCTCCTCTCTCTCTTCTCTCTCCTCTCTCTCTCTCTCTCTCTCCTCTCTCTCTCTCTTCTCTCTCTCTCTCTCTCCTCTCTCTTCTCTCTCTCTCTCTCTCTCCTTCTCCTCTCTCTTCCTCTCTCTCTCTCTCTCTCTCTCTATTCTTCTCTCTCTCTCTTCTCTCTCCCTTCTCTCATCTCCTCTCTCTCTCGCTCTCTCTTCCTCTCTCTCTCTCTCTCTCTCTCTCTCTCCCCTCTCTCCTCTCTCCTCTCTCTCTCCCTCTCTCTCTCTCTTCTCTCTCTCTCTCTCTCTCTCTCTCTCTCTCTCTCTCTCTCGCTCTCTCTCTCTCTCTCTGCCTCTCTCTCTGCCTCTGTCTCTCTGACTCTCTCTCTCTGCCTCTCTCTCTGTGCCTCTCTCTCTCTGCCTCTATCTCTGCCTCTCTCTCTCTCTCTCCTCTCTCTCTTCTCTCTATTCTCTCTCTGCTCTCTCCTCTCTCTCTCACTCTCCCTCTCTCTCTCTCTCGCTCTCTCTCTTCTCTTCTCTTCTCTTCTCTTCTCTTCTCTCTCTCTCTCTCTCTTTGAGACCGGAGGGGTCCCAGCAGGACCCTACTGATTCGCGTCACCTCTCCGCACCAGAGTGCCCGCAGCAATGGCCCCCAAGAAGCCGGAGCGCCGTCGCTCTTCTAAGCGGCCTCCGAGTTCCCGTCCCACGCGCCCTGCTGCCGAAGGGTCTCTCCTTCAACGCAAGCAGGACTGCATCGCAGCGTTCAAGCAAGCGGGGTCTGACCGCCCCACGGCCGCATCCAACGGGCTTGCCGAGCTGAACGCGGACGAGCTCCAGGCAACGTGCGACATGCACAAGTCCAACACGAAGAAGCTCGGCAGCGCCCTGATCCGCATGTGCGCCGCCAACCAGATCAGCTACACGCTTGATCATCACCGGCGCAGCAAGCCTAAGCGCATTGGCGGTGACACATCACACCCACCAGCGGGTTCCGCACGTCTTCAGGCTGCGGACACCCAATTCATCGCCTTGGACCCGGCCTTTTGGAAGGTCCCTGTCCTCGCCGAACCCGCATCACCTGACGACGGCAAGACGTACAAGCCCAGTATCAGCCTCCACGACTACGAGAGCGGTGAACGGCTGCTGCAACACCACCTCGAGCTGGGCAAGCGAGCCACGGGTCAGCTCGCGATTGCTGTCATGGGCCCAAAAAACGACAACTACGTCGGTACCGAGCTCGCCGTCCCCGTCCTGAAGCGACACCCCAAGGCGCCCAAAGTGGTTCACACGCACGTCCCCGTGACCGTGTACCAGCTG